TTAATATTTCTCAATCAAGAAAATGCGAAATATGTGGATATGAGTTTAAGCTTGGGATAGAAGGACCAAAATTTTGTGATGTAAGAGTGCTTACTTTGAATCCCTTTATTTTCTATTATTAAGCGCTTCTAGTGAAATAAATTATTTGACTTTTATTTTATTCGGTAGATCAATCTTTAGCTCTAAGTAAATAAGAGGATTTTTATAGTTTGGCTGATGTAACGAAAAGCAACTATAAGGCTTTAACTACTATATATCTATTCAAATTACTTAATTTCAATTATTTCATTATATCATCCCGCTAATATATGAGAAATAGTTTCAAATTGAATACATTTCTAAGGATAATATATGAGGTTTAAGATTATTTTTTAAATACTTGTTTCGTAAATTTTTGTAGTGGATTCGTTATGGAGGCGAGGGGCCTGAAAATAGCACTCGAAGGCGCCATCTTTGGACAGATTGTTTGTGCATGTGCATAATGCTTCCTTTGATGACTATGTGTGCATGGTTAACGGCACATACAAATAAAATCGAAAATGAGGTTGCTGCGAAAATATTAAAATTTAATTGGGAGGCGTTTTCACTCGGAACATTATTTGTCTTGCTTTTCATTGTATTTGCTGTTTGGTTGGCTGTGAGTTCCTTTATTTTTAGTGCTTATTATTATCTTTTTTAACTATTATTTTATATTTCGTATTTAGGTATTGTTTCGAGACAACCATATTATTTTATAATTATTATTGTTATTTGCACTTGCCATGTAATATATTAACGTGATTTTTCTTATTCTTCTTTTTGAAAGTACGATCGGAATATATTTCATTGTCCAATGTATCTTCTAACCATTCTTATTTGCACTTAAATAGTAAAATATGAAATTAATTTATAGCTGTAAAATGTTCTAAAAATATTATTTTTAAGATATTGCATTTTGTTTTTTAGTTATCTATTCGATATCATAGACAATCATGGGCATTATGGCGAGATAGTCATCATCACTTAGCACTTCAGGAATCGTTTAAAGTACGGGACAGAGCAAAGGATGTTCTGAATACTGCTGCTATATCCATGGTAGCTACCACCACGGCCAGTTTGTTTGAACCACCCGGTGACGCTCAACGATTTGACGCAACCCAGCATTCCTATTTATGTGGAACTGATATGCACCAAGCTTTCTCACCGTTACCCAGAAATATTGAAGAGGTATATCCAAAGCTCGCAAAAAATCATTACAAGTATTCGTAAGGTATTTATCATGTGGATGTACAAGTAGTCTGTCCATTATTTCTCTATTTGAAGAAGGTAAGATTTATTACGCACTCCCTACAAATACTATGAAGTAAGTGCGTAAAGCCTGCTGTTTCTCAAGGGGATTTTCCAGCAAGAACACCTTAGATAGTAGCGACTGTCCTAAAAATTACATTTTTAGCAATGATAAATGTTTAGGACTCGATCATAATGTGAAGTTTGAGGCGATTCATATTTACGATAGTAAAAACGTGAAAAATGATGCAATTTCAGAAGCTGTTATATATCGGGTTGATAGGGCTTTGTTGTTAACAATAAACATCTTAACATTGTTATGAGCAGACAAGGGTGAGGGTACTCATGAGGTTCAATTGTCGGTATATCAGCCCAAGCCCTTTTGCATAAATTAGTATCTTACTTTCTAGCACATATTTATAGGGAAATTTCAAGTTGATAAACAAATTTGGAAATAATAAGAATAAAATGCCTTTTAATGAAAATTTAATTTAAACAATCCTTGTAGATTAAAATCATACTATACATTTACCCATATTCAAATCCAGGTAGTGATTGCTCTAAGTCAAGAGACTGGTTTAGATCTCAAACGAGTTTTTAAAGTATATTTTTTCTTTGGATTAAAGTAACCGTTTTATCATTTGGTTGTAATTTATTTTCTAATCTAAGTGCTTCAAACCTGTAGTCAAAGGGCTATGTTTAAGGCATTTACTCTGAAAAGAGGATATTAATACCATTAAAAACCTTTCTGGATATTTATTTTTCGATATTTACTTTCAAATTAACGAAATAAAATCGAAATAAAATTTTCGAACTTCATAAAAACCCTTTATTTTCTTTAATATGCATCA